TATATATATATATATATATATATATATGAATAAGTTGACTTATTAAACCTAACAAATTTATTTAAAAGTTTAAGCTCAACCTATTTAAATTAATAATTTTTAAAAAAATATAAGTTAAATATTTTTATTAAATAGATTAAGTGAGACCAAATATTAAACATGTTAAGTTGTAGACTCGTGTTTAAAGTTTGACTCATTTTCATCTCCAAGTATAATGTATATATTTAAAATTATTTATAATAAAATTTAATTATAATATAAAATATGTTAAATTTATTTATTTATTATAAATTAAAATTTATAAAATAAATAATTATCTCATATATTATGTTTGTAAAATACTAATACTATTTTTTTTTTAAAAAAGGAAAGGATTTGCAGTTGTTAAATGTCAAGGAAAAAATGATTGAATATGTTGAGTCATGTGGGTCGTGGACTCGTGGAACGGGATTAGATCTAACAAAAGCCATTTGGATCAGTCCAGCCCAAAATAAGAAATTCGTACAAGATTCAAGACATCCCTAACAGATCCGACTAGGGCGTGCTTTGTCAAAGGTCCAATTCTGGAGAGAGAAAAAAAGAGCATATTTGGATTTGCAATTGATATAGAGATTCTTATTCGGCCCATTATAAAAATAATTTAGCCCGAGCCTTTACCGAGTTTATGAAAGATAAAAGAAAACACATGAATTAATGAGTTGTTTGGTATAAAAAACATGCATATTTTTAAAAATATATATATTTATAATATCACAAATTTTTATTTTGAGAATTTATTTTCTGTTTTAAGAAAATGAAAAAACTATAAAATATTTATAGTTTAACTACTTAAAAAAATATTTTTGTCATATACTTGTAAATAAGTTTTAATAATAAAAAATATTTATATTGATATGTTAATTATATAAAGAGCGCATCAAGTGAGAGAAATGTCTTATTATAAAAAACGAGAGAATTGAGTAATTTTTAGATTAAAACTAATAATTGAAATTAGATTTCAATTATAAATACATCTCTTATAAAATAATTATTATTGTTGTCTCCATACACTTCATTATCACAATTACCCATTGTCATCATTATAATTATCATTATTGTCATCATTATTATTGTCGATGTTTCTATTGTCATCACTATTGTTATCACTATTACATGGTAGTGACATAAATAGTTGTGAGAGCAAAGGTGGCATGAGGGCAATAATGATGATATTAACAATAATGATAGTAGTGACCACACAATCAACACTACTATTATTGTCACCCTCACTTTTGATGTTATCATCACTATCATGACCTCCAAGTGGTGACAACAATGATAATAGCAACAACAATATCAATAATGATGATGACAGTGATAATAAAGGTGGGGATGTCAATGGTGATGACAACAATAGAAATGGTAACATCGACCAATGTCACCACAACCATTGTTGATATCGCTATACCATCATTACAATAAATGAAAAGATAGCGGAATGATGAAATTTGGAAAAGGAAAAATGAAATACTATTTTATAATTACAATTTATGTTAACTATTGTGTGATTCATTTTGTTAAAAAATATTGAAAATATTTTTATTTTATTTTTTATTTTGGCCTTCATTTTGAAAATATTTTCTTAAACAAACATGTTTTTTTTTTACCACATTTTCATTTTCACTGAAAACGGGCTACCAAATAGCCCTTGAGCCTTGAATATAACCCTTCTATCCTAAAGAGGTGAATTTCACTCTTTTAATATGCAAGTATCTTTTATATATTTTTCATATCAAGTGAACAATTTATTATTTACTATGTAGCATTCATATAATCTAAAAACATAGGATATTCATAAGTATGTAGAATGTTGATATTAGTTAAGAGACAATTCTTTTATTCACATAACTATCTAGTGGTGGTTATTTAACCTATCATGTTACTCACTATAAAGTTGTTGTTGTTGTTTCATCTACTATCAGGTTATTATCAAAATACATGTATATATTCAATCTTGCAAATTTCAGACCCGAGATGTCCCTAAATTTAGTCCTCAACATGTTAGAGATCTCACATTGTTAAAGATAAAATCAAAATATAATACATAACTATGGAACAATCTTTATATTACAAAACAATTCTGTAAACTTGATTTTGCTACATACTTACATTCCAAAATGTATCAAAGCACATCTTAACAGTTGTTGTTAGACTAATTATATTGCTCATGATTATTAGATCTCTCATAAATTTTCATTCTTACAAGCAAACATACTCATGTCACACGTTAAAAAGTTGATAATAACCACTAACTTGTGTCATTCCTAGTAAGGTAAATATGATAAATTAAATTGAATAATTATATTCAAACATTTAGTTTCACTTATATTTCATTTTATTTGATTTTTTTTATCATCACATTATTTATCATATTAATTATTTTGTTTTTATCTTTTTCCTCCCTCAACATTTTTTTTTTGGTAAATTCCTTTCTCTCGTGTACTCCAATCCACGATTTTAGGGTGGCCGTTCATATTTTTCCAATCCAGTTCCATACAGTGATTCTCCCATCCAATAAGAAACCTTGCCAATTTGTCGTGGGTTGTCATTCAATTTCAATCAAGAATTCAACATCCACACCCAATTGGCTAGCAATTAAGCCTGGCGGGAAAGACTAGCACATCAAGTCACATGGCAATAGCAAATTTATACAGGACTTCCTCCTTCCTAGTCTTGCCACTTCCTCAATCATCGCCACTACTCCTAATCTCAAAAATCACCCCTTATATGTAAAGCCATTTTATTAGAAGCTGTCTAATGATAGGTAAGTTGAACCTGTCTCATGGTTTCTGTTACCAAAATCTATTTAGGATATTTGAATAGACCGTTTCCTAGGGCAATTCAAAGCCTCCTTCATTAATTTCCTTTTACGTGCCAACAAACTACCTGCTTAATCTTGTAATTATCTGTCAACTTTATAGCGCTTTTGACATGTAGAACTTGTTAGAAACAGAATAATATATAGTAAACACACAAATATTATTTTATGCACAACCCAACACAATGGTTTGGTTGCAACCAAGTTTTGGCTTTAGCAGTTTTGTACAGTACCCCAACCATGTGCTTCATCTTGACTAACTTATGTGGGGACAAAAACTACATCTCTCACGCATTTAAGTGTCTTCCCATAGGGTCGATAAATAAAGAATTACATTAAAAAAAGTTAATTAATAAATATACAAACAAATTTTCAACAACTTATTAAATCTATCGCCAATGGATGATTATTCTCTCATGTTAGTTTGTATTATGCCACGAGAATAGAAGACACATAGACTTGAGCTTTTTAATTAATTAAGCTTCATTATTTTTTTTATGCATTTGTTTTTCAGAACAATTTGTCCCGATATACTTGCTAACATTTGAAAGAGTCCAAACTCTAGAGATAAAATAAAAGAGAATTTAGTCTTGTCGTTTTCTAATTCGAAGTTGTTTCACGATATAGAAAGAGATGGAAACAAATTTTGTATGATCTTTTAATGAGATTAAGATTGTTTGATAAAATGTTTGGTAGAAGTAGCACTGTATTATTAATTATACGAGGAAATACACGTTAGTGGTGGAGGAAAAATAGGGGCATGCACATGGAAACTGCATATGGCCTTTTCATGTATAGTTCACAAATTGAAAGGCACGGTTCAACCTTTGTTAATTAGTTTGCTTGCTAAGCAACGAAACCGCGTCCAAGACTCACGGTTGAGAAGCATTTATATGATTTATGCTTATTCATAGCAACTTGAACTGGTGGTAAATGCAATTTGCCAATTTGCATATTTCATCTCCAGCTAATAAATGAAATTTTGTTTCACTGAATAAATACGTAATTAGGTATAAAATAGTTGCCAATCCAGTCTGCATTCTTATAAAAGGATGAATATCATTGGTCAGGATGGAGACTTGTTGTTGCTTTAGGTACAAGAAAAGAATTCCATCTATAACAAGTTACGCGCACTGCTCCACAAATTGCACTCACAGTCAATGATAAAATATGCATCTGAATAAATTTCTTATTTAAACACTTATTTAATAGTAATTTCTGTATAATTTATTAAGTTAAAAAGAATCCGGCTCTAATTAAAAATTTATTAGTTTGATTTCCACCAATTTGAAGACTTAGTCAATGGATAATTTATTTGTTTTTTTTAATAGCTTTGTAGCATGTTTTGGCCAATCTTACCTAAGCTTTTTCGCACGGTAAAAAAAAAAAAAAAAATTTTTTTTTTTTTTTTTAAAACTTTTTAGCATGTTTTTGCCCAACTTACCCAAAATTTTTCCCACCGTAAAAAAAAAAAAAAAACTTCTTGCTATTTTTTAATGAAAAATTTATCAAACAAGTTAAAAAGGATACTATTGAATACATAAATTAATTGACACAAAATTATTATAACTTAATTAATAGTTTTAAATTTTAATTTGTGTATACAAGTGTGTTATTACTTAAATGAACAACTTTTCAATCATGATAGTTCTATTTTGAAGAAAACTAACTGTTAAAAGAATATGCTTGTTGTTGTACAATTTTTTTTAAAATTATAAAAAAAATTAATACTTAATTTAATTCTTGTCAAACATTTACACAACCTATTTTTAATTTCTCTAGTTCAGTGAAACATGCTTAGAAGTTAGAATATAAGATTTAAACTTTAAATTTAAGCATGATCATTAAACTCAATTTTTTTTAGTTCAATTCAATTATGATCTAATTTGAGTATAGTGTTCCAAAACCTGTTCAAAACTTAGAGAAGTATTTTTTTTTTTTTAACTTAAACTCTATTCTGGAGACCTAAATTCAATCAAGACTTTTTTTTGTGTCTCTTTATAACTTACAATTCGCATTGATTAATACGATATTTAGTGATGTATTTTGCTGCCTCTATTTTTCATAGGCTAATTTACTGAATTGCTGTTTGCTCCGAACAAAAGACAAAGGCTTGATCTGTAGGGATGACGATTTTGGTAAAAACTTGGAAAATAGAAAGTGTTGTATCATATCCAAAAGTTGTAGAGAGATACTTTGGGGGATAATAAAATTGAGGGGAAGAAACGTTCTGGATGATGGCAAAGCACTAGGAGCTTGGTAAGACGACAAATTAACATATAAAGGAAAAGACAATTAACACAAAGGAATATCGTATATGTGCATGTATGTGTATCAAGGTTAGGACTCAGCAGAGAGAAAAAGACACATTCCCTCAATTTATTACTAGTTTGATCGAGAAATTCCCATGTTCTGTTCTTATCCCCAAGCCCCGCAGCTGACCCTTGTTATTTATTAGTTAATTAAATTCAATGGATTATGTATATATGTTGCTGTTGGCATGTGAAGCAGTGTGGTTTTGTGAGGAGAAAAAGAACACGGCCATGATGGGTGTCAGAAACTTATTAAGTTGATGGCAACAAACCATGGGAGGTTTAGGTTATTTGCTCAAACAACCACATAGAGAAATGCTTGGAACACAAATTAATTAGACAAACACTGCTTTTGCTCTCATCACCCATGTTACGTTTTGGGACCCATTTCACGCGTATGAGTTTTTATATATTTCACTTTCTTGACCTTTTGTGCAAATCAATTCCACCATAGCTGTAAACCAAAAATAAAGCCCCCCTTCAACAAAAATAAAAATTAAAGATAGAGACATGGATAGGGATATTTTTATAAAGCTCCTAATCTTTCAATCCTTGACATATATGCTACTTGTTCTTTTGTCTCCCTTCTATTCTTTTTTCCTGTCTTTTTATTTTTTATTTTCCTTGTCACTCACTGCTACTGTTTTTCTTTCCTTTATCTTAGAAAGAAACAAAAAGCAAAACTGTACCCAAAACTAGAAAGTAGAAGCAGTTTTTTTACCTTTCATCTCTTGGCTTTGTAAGGCAACATAAAACTGAGCTAAAAAGATTTTTCAACACAAGTGATTCTTCATGGAGAAAATAACATCAGAACATTGATCATCATCTAAATTGTTGCTTACACGTGGCACACAGACAGAAGAACATCACCCTCTGCAAAATAGACCCCACCATTGTTTTATTCAAATAATAACTAATCAGGTGTTTTGCCGTTAGTAGTTTAGCACATGGAACTGATCATAAATTGTCAAGTATTAAAATTATTGTCTTTTCTACTAATTACTTTAAAAAGCATACCCCATTAGGATTTCGAACTAACTGTGAGTGATCATACATTGAAATTAAACTTTATATATATATTTGTTTTGTGTGATTTTAAAATTTATTTAACTTACCGTGTAGTATGGTATGGTCATAATAATGGTCATGGTTAATGAACTCTGGCACGTGGGTGAACAGTAGCTACGCGAAGAACATGGGCCGTTACCAACCAAAATCGTGAAATACTGCTTCTGATGTTTTCGCTCGTACCAAGCATCCTAAACACAATAGATGAATACTCAAAAAAACTCTCAACTTCAATTACTGATCAGTTATGTATTGTGGTTCTACAATATGTTTGAAAGCGAATTAAAGCTCTATGACACAACAAACACCACCAGTAAACTTTAACAGTTTTGTTGAGAGAAAAGCTAACTTGTCCCAAGTACCGATACTTTGTCTCCGTGACTAGTGCACTTCATTTAATGCCTCCATCACTCTACAGAAAAAAATAAAGAAAAGAGTATGGTTTGAAACTAATCACCAAGTTGAAGCTACTTGCAGTTATTTTTTGTTGATCACAAAAATCTACTGACAATCATTTCCTAGAGGCATGTGACAGTTAAAAAATGACAACCAATAGTTTCACCCTAAAACAATAATTAGTTTTTAAACAATTCTATTTTAGTAATTAGTTTTTAAAAGAGCCTAAATTTGGTCAATTAGCCCTGCTCTCATATGTTAGTCTCATGATCATTAATTAAGCAGATCTGATCAAATGATTTGAAATGTTAGGGTAATTATGAATGTCCAAGAATTTATCTTAACCCGATGTGTCCCAACTTGGAATTGACCTGATTTTAAAATTATGAAATATACAGTGGTAAACAGTATTTATCCATGTTTGCTCTGTAGCACTACCGATCGCAGCAACAAATAATTGCAACACATGATCGATTGATCGTTATCTTGGTCGCCAAATGGTCGAGACCGAGGTCTAAAATTTGATATTATCTGATAAAAAAAGAGGCAGAAGCTCCAATTGATTTGAAACAAAAACATTCATTAAGGCAATTGGTGCTTTATATATATTTTACAATGATATGTTCAAAGATCTAGTAGTTAAAATTTCACACAATAGGGGACTGCAAACTAGTCATTATCTACAAATTGTGATCAGTTTTCACATGAGCAGAATCTGTGGACCGTGATCTTGAATATTAGATTTTTGTTGGCTACAAATAGGATTGCAAAGCTCACATTTGCAAATAAATAATTCTGTATATTACGTATATGTTTTGAAACAATAGTTCACGCATCATAGACTGAACGACATGTGAATCGTTTTTTTGACACACTAATTCAATAATCATGAATTTCAAATTGCAATACAGCCAAGTTATAGCTGATAGGTCAAGAAAAAGAAAGAAATACCTCAAAATCCCCCTGTGGGACCCCCTTGGTGCAAATTGTTTATAAAAAGTGCCACACATAGAACAAGCCAACCTCAACTACAAAAACCCCACCCCCTCCTCCTCCCCCCTCCCCCATTTGGTACCGCAACTCTCTCTATCACTCACAACATTTTCACTAACACTTTCTGAAAAGAATTCCTTTCTTTTCCCTAACATGGCCAGATCACAACAGCGATACCGAGGCGTCCGACAAAGGCATTGGGGCTCTTGGGTCTCCGAAATTCGACACCCTATATTGTAAGTGCCCCTCTTGTTTTCATTTCCATGCACATTTCACTTCTATTTACAATAAAATAAACATTAGCAACAAAGGTTCATTCTCTAGTCCTTAATAATGTAACAAACCAATGTTTCAATCTCCATTGAACGAGGTGTCACATTTAGTGTCTAACAATATCAGAGGTGTCCATATTTAGTATCTGACAATGTCAGAAGTGTTCACATTTAGTATTTAACAATGATTGCATCGTGTCAATTTAGTGCTTAATAATATCATAAATGTCTACATTTAGTGTCTGATAATGTCTCGAACTGATGATAACTTTTTTTTCTCTTATGCAGGAAAACTAGGATATGGCTTGGTACTTTTGAAACTGCTGAGGATGCAGCCAGAGCTTATGATGAAGCAGCAAGGCTAATGTGTGGCACAAGAGCAAGAACAAACTTCCCTTACAACCCCAATGCGTCTCAGTCATCATCTTCAAAGCTTCTCTCAGCAACTTTAACTGCTAAACTGCACAGGTGCTACATGGCTTCGTTGCAAATGACAAGGCCATCACTGCCAGAGCCTCAGAGAGTGGCTTCACCACATGTCATCACCTCCGGAAGCAACTTCCCCATGAAGAGCAACGAAACCGAGAGAATGCTACCACAGAAGAGACAAGAGGAGAAGCAAGAAGCAGAGGGGAATTGGGTTTTGAAGAAGGTGAAGGTGGAAAGTGCTCAGCAATTCAAGCCTCTTGAAGAGGACCACATCGAGCAAATGATAGAGGAGTTGCTGCATTACGGGTCTATTGAGCTATGCTCTGTGATTCCACCACAGGCTCTTTGATTCACGATAATTTTTATTGGTAGTTCACTTCACATTCTTATTCTGCTAATTTAACTAATTAATTCTCTTGGACAATTTCAGTCTCTGTTAGTCTATGTTAAGTAGAGTAGATTAGAATATGTGTTCTGAGTGACACATTGGACAATGTTGTATGTACAGCCAGAATCATGTTGGAATTGTTTTCTTGGGTTCTCTCAATTTGCGTTTCAACTTGCGGAATCAGTCTCTTGTCTGAACTGAAATGTTAGAGGGTTTGTCAAAAGGGCACGGCTTTTTAGACAACTGGCTAGAACAACAACAACCCTTTATTTCAAACATGGTAGAGTTTTATTATGCATGCACTCACTGACATTGCTCCTAATTCTGACACAAGTATTTGAAAAATAAAATGTTCCTTTGAATTCGATTAAAGTTAAACTAACTGTAGCAATAAAAACACGGAAATACAAGACATCATATTGCCCTCCCTCCAGATTCCTTTTTCAGTTTTCATCATATCTTTCGTGTTTCCGAACTCAATGCTTGAATGTACAGAACAAGAAAAAGAAAAACATGTTACCCATGAGTATTGAAGTAACTGCCACTCGTGGAGAATGGAGATGCTTTTTTTTTCCCGGGGATTCTAACCCATTCGCCAGGTTAATCAGCCCAGTGATATGACATTCAAAACCAAATAAATTTATTAAAAAATTATATTATCAATTAATCAAAATTATTGTAACTATCATTTTAAATGAGTTAATTAGTTTGTAATTAGATCACAGTGCAAAAACTTTTTATGCTATAAATATATAGATTTTTCCTCAAAATAGAAAAAAAAATATAGATTATTTTCTCAATTAAACTTGCTAAACAGATACTTAAGTATATAATTTTTTTTAGAGTATAATGGGTAAGTTCAATTTATCTGAGAATTTTTTTGTGATTGAACGTGTTGGATTAAGAATTTATTAAATAAAATTTTATTTATAAATTTAACCGGAAAGTTTATTAGAGTAACTTTATTTTATAGTTTTTCATGGAAACTTATTATAATAAATTAAAGAAAAATGTATAATGTGAGACCCGCACTTCCAACTCCTCAAAACCATAGTTTTAAAAATCGGATCACTCATCGAACCGGTTAAGGTACTGGGTCAGCGGGTCAAAGGTTGAATCGGTGGGTCATTAATTAAACCGCATGACTAGATTTTTAGTTATTTTTATTAAAAAAATATTCATATTAAATATATTTTATATTTATAAATTTTAATAAATTCATATCTTATTTTAAATTTCAATTTTTTTTATCTTATTTAAATTTATTTTTATTTTTATTTTGTAAAAAAATACATAAAAAATTACATGTTAAACTGTATATTAATACAAATTAAAAATATAAATAATATGTACATATATAATATGCTTGCAATTGATATTACAAAATAATATATGTAATATCTACATAAATATTATATTATTAAATATATAATTTAAAATTAATAATATACTATAAAAGTTATTTAAGTTGTATATATTACAAACAAATAAATTAGAACAAGTAATCATTGTTATATTTAATAAGACTCTTTGCTCTTCCATTAAGAGATTCAATTTTCATTATTATTTTTGTGGTTTATGGTCCCTTAAAAAATTTAAAAAAAAAGAAAAGAAAAGAAAAGAAAGTGGTTGAACCGGTTGACCCACCAGTTCACCGGTTGAACAAAAAAATTGACCGGTTCAATCCAATTTGAAACGGGTCGACTGCATAACCGATACAACTTAAGATTTGGACCGGCTGGACCACCAGTTCCCGGTCCAACCGGTCTGACCGGCCGGTTGGATCCGAGTTTTAAATCACTGCTCAAAACCCTTTCTTTCTCATTTTCCTCTCTTCCTTCACTTTACTCAATCCCATTCCTTTCTTTGGCTGAAACCTAGGTGTTGGTACTTGATTTTAGAAGGTGAAGCTGTTGAGAACCAAGGGAAGCTGTAAGGCTAGTCTTCCTCCCAGAAGCAATTCCATTTATCTTCTTCTTCTTCTCTTTCTCGGGAGCTCGGATTCTTCTTCTCTAAGGTAAGGGAAGCTGAAAAATTGTTGATTTTGGGGAAAAATGTTGTACTGTTGCAGCAAAATTTATGGTTGCATGTTGATTAAATTGGTGTGTGGAATCAAAAAGAGGGGTTTTGAGTTGTTTGAAAAGTGTGGTGGTTTGGGACAGATTCTGGTTGCATGTGGGGTTTGTGATGTTGCTGAATTTCATGTTGATGGTATGACTGTTTTCTTGTAAGTGTAGGTGTTGGGTCTTTTGAATTGTAAGCTTTGATGGATTTTGGGTGAAAAGCATGTGGGAAGCCATGGGAGGGTAGGACGTTTTATCTGGAACGCTGAATTGAGCGCGGAAGTACTGGGACTGGATGATCGAATTGGGTCTCAGAGTCTTCATGAAAGTTGTATTCTTGGATGTTAGTTTTTCAATGACATCGGAATCACCTAAAACGGAGGTCTGGAACTCCAAATATGTTTTTTTAGTGAACAGGGGTCAAGCTGTCAGTATTGGCCATAGCTGTTGCGTTTTTTAATTTTTTTAACAGAGAAGATTGTAGAATTATGAATTGATATCTTCATAAGAGTTGTAGGAAATCTTCTTATCTTTCATATGAGATAAGGATGAGCATGATAGGAGTTGTATAACTCCTGATATGTCTGTTTTAGTGAACAGGGGTCAAGCTCTCAGTATTGGTCATGGCTGTTGCGGTTTTTAATTTTTTAACAGAGTAGATGATGGAATTAGGACTTGATGTCTTCATGAGAATTGTAGGAAAACTTCTTATCTTTTATTTGAGCTAAGGAAAAGGATGACAGAAGCAGTATAATTTCATTTATGCAGTTTTATGTGAAGGTTTCCATTTCACAATAAGTGATTTGGTTAAGTTGAAATTTATTTTGGGTGTTTAGGTTGATGTATGTTGTTTATATGAGTAATTTGACTTGATAAATGAGCTGTAAATCTGTAGTATGAGTTGCATTATGTGATGAAAATGTGTGTGTGACGATATAAGCGATAAAGTGTTGAATAATAATGATTGTTGTAGTATGATGAGAAAACTATGTTGACAATTGTGTTGCAAAGTTGAGTAGTTATATTGGGATATTATATAAACAATGTTGATGTCATTGAAATGCATGTTTAACATAGTGTTGTAATTAGCTGTGTAGTTGAGTAGTTGAGTGAAGATGATATGAGTTAAAAAGTTGTGTAGTGATTGAGTTGTTGTTGTGTTGAAACTATAATGAGATGTTGTGTTGTTATCTGAGTTGTTGAGCTGAACCGTGTTGTTGAGTTGTGTGTTGATTGTGTTGTAATGATGAGTTGTTGATCACTAAGATTAGAGGAGATATTTTCGAAGTTACTCATCCTATTATGTGGATTGAGGTAGTTGTGGTGCTCTAAGAGCCCAATTTGTTGAAAACTCTCTTTGGGAAGTTGTCCCTTAGAGTGGATGATGTGTTTTTCTCCTCTTAGACTTAGTTGATCTCGTGTGTGGGTAAGGTCGACGCACACGTGTATGAAGCGACCACGGTATAGGGGCCAGGTCGAGATATGCCGATTACAAGCGGCCAATCCGAGTAAAGTACGAAGTCGGGAACTTAGTTCCTAACCGAGTATCGGAGGGTTGTAGTATTTGGAGGATAATCAGTAGGCTAATTCCATATGTGGCTTAGTTGAGCTAGTTAATGTCGTGGTAGGCCTAAACCCAATTATTCTATCCTGACAGAGTACTATACTTCATTGTTTAAGTGGCAAAGTCTGAGAAATCGTTATCGTGTTGTGGATCGATATCCAAATTTGTTGTTTACCTAGCAAGCCCAAAATGGTTCTGTGATTCGGTAGGACCTAGCCACTTAGACTGCTCATCCTGTGTTGTAGGAGATCTCCGAGTTGAAATGTGTGACGACGCATAAGTTGTTGATGTGTTGACCTTGTGTTGATTGAGTTGTATATATGTTGTGATGTTGAGAAGTTGTGATTGAGTTGGATGTTGTTATGTGTTGAATGTTGAATTGTTGAAAAGGTGGTTTCTGTTGTTGAGTTGTAAGTTGTTTAAATATATATGTTGATTCTTTTCACTAGCTTACCCTTGCGTGTTTCCATGTGGTTTGGACTGCTATGATCATACTATGTATGAGAGTAGAGCAGGGATAGGCTGGAGAGTAGCAGTAGAGCCACATGTGGTACTCAAAGATGGATTTTATTTGGAAACCTACTAGCTGATTTCATATGTTTTGAGTAGATATTTATGTATATGGTTATACATAAACTGGAGATGTAGAATGCTTATATTATACTACTGCTTTAGTATATGTATATTGCATAGATAGACGTGTGTTGCGTAGTGTGATAGCCATGACGGGTCGTTACATATAAAAAGTATAAACTACTTTTGTAAATTTTTCTTTTTTCATAAACATTTGACATTCTTTTTTTAATTTTGAATGGTGCAATGCTAAGTCACTTCGCTGTTTACGTTGACATAATGGAATTAAATATGGATTTTAACAATTGATTGAAAATGCGTGCACTTCTAGTTCTAGCCTGAAGAGTAGGATAGTTTCTCTCCTTTTGTTAGTTTTAGTTGACCATTGGAAGGGTAACAATATATAGTTATTTATTAAAGATTAATTGATAATTTCTTATTATTTTAAAACTAATAAGGAAAAAAAATACTTTGTGCCCTTTAATTTAAAAAAAATAAAGAAAGAAAATTTAAGAGAGGCGTATTAATTTAAAATTTTATAAGATTTTAAAAGACTTTTTTAAGTAAAAAAAGTCCATCGATATTTAATCAGGATTTTATATCACTTAAAAAATAGTTCAGTGGTATTCAATATGAATTTTTAAGATTTTTTAAAGAGTCTATTAAAATTTATTGGTATTCATTTGAGATTTTTTACAACTTAAAAATAATTCATTGGTATTAAAAAATATAAAGATTTTAAAAGATTGTTATATTAGACGAATTTTGAAGGACTTTTTAGTAGTATCTATAAATATCAAATTCATAAAATAACCCCATCAAAATTTGGAGGATTATTTGAAGTGACTTTTCAAGTACTTCAAAAAAATTTAAGTAAGTTTTTCATCTTTTTTCTTTCTATGTTTTTGTCTTCTCCATTTTTTTTACTAATAATATTGCATTACTGCTTATATATAATATCGTACTATTATTCTCATTCTATTCTCCCTATTTGGTGAAACTCCGGTAGGTAAATGACATTCCATTCTCTTTAATTGAGTTGTTTTTATTTTGTTCTATTTAGTTGAGTTTGTTCCTTAGATATATAACAAAGAAAATGCTT